TTTGGGTTACTATCTACAGATCAGGCAATGCAATAGCGCAGTTGGTAGTGCTATCGCCTCACAGCTAGAATGTCACTGGTTCGAGCCTCGGTTGGGTCAGTTGGCGTTTCTGTGTGGAGTTTGCATGTTCTCCCTGCGTTCGCGTGGGTTTCCTCCCGGTGCTTCGGTTTCCCCAAAAGTCCAAAGACATGCAGTACATGTGCATTGGTTAGACTAAATTGTCCATAGTGTATGAGTGTGAATTAGTGTGTGTGGATGTTTCCCAGAGATGGGTTGCGGCTGGAAGGGCATCCGCTGTGTACAAACATGCTGGATAAGTTGCCGGTTCATTCCGCTGTGGCGACCCCAGATTACTAAAGGGACTAAGCCGACAAGAAAATGAATGAATGAATCTACAGATCATCTGATATAAAAGGTTCATCATCAAAATCTACGCTCGCTGGCCACTTTATTATGTAATCCTTCGTGGCATAGATTCAACAAGGTACTGTAAATATTCCTCAGAGATTTTTGTCCATGTTGACATAATAGCATCACGCAGTTACTGCAGATTTGTTGGCTGCACATCCATGATGTGAATCTCTCTTTCCACCACATCCCAAAGGTGCTCTATTGGATTGAGTTCTGGTAACTGTGGAGGCCATTTAAATACAGTGAACTCATTGTTATGTTCAAGAAAGCAGTCTGAGATGATTTGCACTTTATGACATGGTGCATTATCCTGCTAGAAGTAGTCAACAGAAGATGGGTACACAGTGGTCATAAGGGGATGGACATGGTCAGCCACAATACTGTGGAGTTGACACGATGCTCAATTGGCACCACCCCCACCAGCCTGAATCGTTGATAAAAGGCAGGATAGATCCATGATTTCATGTTGTTGACGGCAAATTCTGAGCCTACCATCCAAATGTCGTAGCAAAAATCGAGACACATCAGACCAGGCAACATTTTTCCAATCTATTGTTCAATTTTGGTGAGTGTGTGCGAATTGTAGCCTCAATTTCTTAGCTGACAGAAGTGGCATCCGGTGTAGTCTTCTGCTGCTGTAGCCCATCCGCCCTAAGGTTCGACGTGTTGTGCATTCAGAGATGCTCTTCTGCATTTCACTCGGTTGTAATGAGTGGTTATGAGTTACTGTTGCCTGTTTATCAACTCGAACAACTCTGGCCATTCTCCTCTGTCCTCTGGCATCAACAAGGCATTTGTGCCCTCAGAACTGCCGCTCTCTGGATATTTTCTCATTTTCTAACCATTTTCTGTAAACCCTGTAGATGATTGTGCGTGCAATTCCCAGTAGATTAGCAGTTTCTGAAATACTCAAATCAGCACGTTTAGCACCAACAACCATGCCAAGTTCAAAGTCACTTAAATCACCTTTCTTTTGCATTCTGATTCTCTGTTTGAACTGCAGCAGATCATCTTGACCATGTCTACATGCCTAAATGCATTGGATTTCTGCCTTGTGATTGGCTGATTAGAAATTTACGTTAACCAGCAGTTGGACAGGTGTACCTAATAAAGTGGCCGGTGAGTATATTTATGTGATATGTAGCGATATGAATGAAATTACACCAGATGGTTCGAATAGCTCTATTAAGAAGGAATTCATTAATTTAGACTGATTGGGATGATTTAGTAGGGAAATGAGTCATGCATAAAATATAATGAACATAACAAATTACAAGCATAGATAAATACAATAGAACAAAGATAACAGTGAAATAAACAGTGCTGCTTCATGGTTTTCTGTGGAGTCAGTTATCAGGTACAGAAACTGAATAAAGAAATGTAAAATAGCATTGTATAGTCTCTGCTATATAAATAATTTCAAAAATATATTAATTTCATTATGGTTAAAAGTTTGCAATGTTCTGAACTGTGATGTCTGGTGAACTATAATCCCAACCAGCATTGCAGATCCTAAGATGTGACGATAGAGATACATTCTTGGTATTTAATACATGGGAGCCTGATTACCATTGATCTCGATTGATTTATTGTACCATATACTCTACATACTCATCAACAATAAACTGTAAGTGCTCACACTACAAATAAATAATCATATGCGGAAAATGTTTTCTTGTGGCAGCTTATTGATACCCTGTCACTTACAGATAATCTTATACATTTATTTGATCCGCTCCCTCTGCATTTGTGCTCGGCTTCCCAAGTGAACCGTGCTTGAGCCCAATTCAGCGCACTCACACTTCTCAAACGATCTGGGAAACGGGCCTGGGCACGGTAAGGATGGCATAGTGTGAGTAGGCCCTTAGACAAACCAGCTGATCGATGTAACTTTAAAATGTTCCAGTGTCCCTGTATCTGTGTTCATACTCAGTAAATAGCTGTGAGTTCAGTAAACTGATGACCTTTATGACCAAAAACTGACTTACTGTGACGCAGATTCTTATGCTCTATTGTACATGTGCAATGTTGCCTTATCAATGCTGAAACAATATATTGTGCAGGTTTACTATATGTAGTTATGTGGACGCTCTTCTCTTGAAAAATGTTAAACCTGGGTTATTTTTAGGTATAACCCGTTTACAGAATCCTAGGTTATTTAATTCACATTTTACACTTTTCATAAGTTCTCAATTTGTCACAGCAAGTGACGTACACTTACTGGCCACTTTATTAGGGACACCTGTCCATCCGCTTGTTAAAGCAAATTTTTAATCAGCCAATCACATGGCAGCAACTCAATTCATTTTGGCATGTAGACATGGTCAAGATGATCTACTGCAGTTCAAACAGAGCATCAGAATGGGGAAGAAAGGTAATTTAGTGATTTTGAATGTGAAATGGTTGTTGGTGCCAGACGGGCTGGTCTGAGTATTTTAAAACCTGCCAAAGACTGGAAAAACATTGCCTGGTCTGATGAGTCCCCATTTCTGCTGTGACATTCGTATGGTAAGGTCAGAATTTGGCATCAATGTCATAAAGCGCGAACCATCTCAGACTGGTTTCTTGAACATGGCAATGAGTTCACTGCGCTCAAATGGCCTTCACAGTCACCAGAACTCAATCCAATAGAGCACATTTGGGATGTGGTCGCACAGGAGATTTGCATCATGGATGTCCAACAAATCTACATTAACTGTATGATGCTATTGTGTGAATATGTACCAAAATCCCTGAGGAATATTTACAGATCCTTGTTGAATCTATGCCAAGAAGGATTAAGGCAGTTCTGAAGGCAAAACGGGGTCCAACCCAGTACTAGTAAGGTGTACCTAATAAAGTGGCCGGTAATAGTGATATGTTTGTGTTGTGCAATAAATTATAATGGTCAAATGTGTGATTGACAAAGCATGTCATTGGTATCTATCCTTAACACTAACTCCACAATCCAAAGCAGTGTATGAAGGATTAGCATTATTACTGCAAAATTGCATTTTCAATGTAATAATAAGCAGAAATGTTGAAATTCTAGTTATGTTTTTAATGAAAGCATGCAGTGAAAAGAGTGAAGGTGTGAGATGTGTGTTCAGACTGTTTGTCGGTCCTCTCTCAGCAGGATGAACAGATGGTTTTTCAGGGTTGGCTGGAAAGAGGTAGCCAGTATGTTATTGGAACTGTAGCTCCTACTGTCATCTAAAAAATCCATGAAAAGCCAAGCAATCTAAATAACCTCAAAATTAGCTTCTAACCCCTTGTAAACATCTCACAGATGTTGTACTGTATGGTGGAAAATATGCAACCAAACAATGACATTTATTGTATGAAACATTTTTTCATACAGTCCCATCTGCTGCCATTTTTTTTAGACAGGACAGGATGTAGAAAATTATATCAAAATTTGGTCTGAACTGCAAATATTTAATAGGACAAAGGAAGGTGTCTCGAGGGACAGTGAAAATCAGAGCGAGCATAAATATAGACCATGTGCAAAGATGGTTACATGGTTCTTCTGTGCTTCTTAGAATCTGAATTCTGGGATCAAAGCTAATCTTCTGAATTGTAAATGAGCATTGTGCAGTGTATCTACCGCCTATGGTAAAACTACCATTTGACATTTACTAGTTTATTCGCTTTCCTTTTTTAGCCTTATTTCCACTCTATTCATTTTATTTCCCCATAGATCAGAGTGGCACTATTATTAATGAGTAGCAGGAGTAGGGGTGTTGCAGCAGGATGCGGTAAAGCAGTGTGTGTAATTTGTGTAAGAAAGCATCTGGATTGATAGAGACAAATTATTTGCGTTTGAAAGACAAAATAATTTCACATTTTTAAATGATTGTATTCATGTTACATTTCATATTTGCATTTTTTAAGGAATGATTATGAGCAAAAGCATTCAGTGATTATGAGAGAATCTTAAAAGATGGCATTATATCATGTTTATGTTTGAATACCCTAATAACATTAGTGTAAATTAAAGCTTTATAGAGGAATGTTCTGTCCTTCACTGAGAAAGGAGTTTTCTTGTACACTAATTTATTCTTCTGAGATGCTGCAAGGCCTCTATTTTTATAATTAATTCAGATTTTCCATTCAGTGTTGTTGCATTGGTTTAACATTTTGCAATTTCTCTGCACAGACTGATGTTTATGCATGACATGACATTTAATAGGAGGATAACATTTACACTGATTCTGTACATGATAATGTGTTAGTCTTATATCTTTCACTGAATGTCCGCAGTGGTCATATTAAACCAAATTACTTGCAACTATGTATTAAAAAATGACATACATGTACATCTCTTCTGTGTTACTGGGCATATGCAAGGTCATTGTTAGCCTGAGAGAAAGGCGATGATGATTTCTAGGGGCCCATGACAATTTCAAAAGTGGGGGTTTATTAAATATGCATATTTGTGATCAGTATTATAATGGCTTTTAATATTTGCGCATAATAGAACAGTTGTGGTCCAGTGAATGCCTTGTGGAAGCTCTGTATATATTTCATCTAAATTTAAAATTGATCCTTTATCCATAGATTTCACATGTACAAATGGCTGATTTAAGAAAAAGAATCAACTAATAAACTTGCTTTTGATTCTTTCTAGGAGACACAGACTGAGGGGAAAATAACGGGGGTCCATTTAAAATGACACGTACGGACCCTCCTGACATATTAACATCAACTTTGTATGAAGACATAAATATTGGCCCTAACTCTGGGCTCTCAAAGTATTCTGGATCTTCGAAGCAATGTGATTCACAAATGGTTGGCCCACTGGATCAAAACTTCGAAACAATTAACAAAAGACATTGCCGAAGCTTTGACTTCATCGAGTCACTGGATGACCCAAAGGACATTTCATCGTCCATGGAGTATCCTTACAGGTCTGAACAGCAACCAGTAAATAAGGATGCAGTCTGGAATGGCATTGGGCAGCAGGGACACCTACGTTTTTCCTCACCAGATCTGTTCAACTCGAGACTGTCCCATCAAATCAGTACAGACAAAAGCAATGAGACAGCAAGGGCTAGTGTTCATGGCAAGCCTCGCTCAAAAAGTACACCTAGAGTTCGAGCCACCCTAACCCCAGTACCCATCACAGTTTCTCCTCCTGCAACCACAAGGCGTCGATCTCCAGTGGACCCTCAAAAAAGAATAGAAGGTTTGCCAAACCGAGAAGCCTCCCACTCAAGCAGGGCTTTAGTTAATGAGGTTCATCCGATAAAGTTACAACCACACACACCCCTCTATGTTTCTGATTGTTTTGAGGAAAACAGACAAGAAAAACAAGCTAACACTCCCCATGTCAGGTGTCGTGTTGATATTAAGCCAGATGCCTCAGTTCTCCAGCACACAGCACGGAAGATACCTACTCAAAGAGGTAATGTTCCCTGGCAGCTTTCCTCAACATCATCAATCAGAAATGTCTCATTTCCAAGTCAGACATCCACTTCAAGAACACCAACCCCTAGTGAGTGTTACAACATGGACTACAGGCAAGCATATCAGTATCCCAACAGCTTGTCAAGTAGTTACATTCATTCTGGTGAGATCCCTTTTGGAAGGACCTCTCCTAGAGATCCAAGGGAGTACAGAACATTGTCTAATCCTAACATCCCTACCAAGTTCTTTTACACAGATGATCCCTGCAGGTATCCCATTCAGCCACCTAGGACTTATTATCAGGATGACCAGTACAGTGTTATCAGCAGTACCAGCCAAAATCCCTCTGTCAGTAGTCAGTATGTACTTGACCCAAGAACTCGCTGGGTTCATACTTTACCTGTGCGTTCGTACTATGCAGATTCCCATCGGGAACCCTTGGATCCATTTTATGGTAGACCATATTCAGTGAGTGAGCCAGGACCATACTTCATATCCACCCCTCAGAGTGAAACATACTTTCAGGATGACCCAAGAACATATGGATTTCCCTCTGATCCATCAAAAATGTTCTATACACGGCCTTGCCATTACCCAGCAGAAGTACACATTCCTATGAGAGGATATCATACAGAGGGACGACGGCGACCACATATGTCTCAGGTCTTTTCAGATGACTTGCACCGGTCAAGCATTGCTACATATTCTAGCCAGTATGCATCCTCACAGGCCACTCCTCAGAGGGCACCGTCAATAAGTTCTTGGTATCCCAATGACTTTACCGAGCCAAGTCGCTTAGGAACAGATATCCGGAATTTCTCTAAATCCTGGGACAACATTCTCACTCCTCATATGGACAGAGAAATTGGTGTTTCACGAGGCAGGAGTTACGAGAACCTTCTCCATCATGGAAGATCAGGAGTTCCTTCAAATGACAGTCAACAGCCAGTTATTGTGAATCTGTCTAGTTCGCCAAGACGTTATGCTGCATTGTCCCTCTCTGAAAATTGTCTCGAAAAGTGTGCTGGTGATAGACAAAATAGTGCAAGAGGGCAATGGTTTGTAACCCCAGAGATTACTATAACTGACAATGACATCCGTGCAGCAAACAGCAACAAGAGAAATGGGGGAACAAGCAGCTGGAAAACAGGCTCAAATACAGGCCAATGCCAAACAGACAACTTGCATAACTTACAGAGACCAGCAAACCCATCAGAATCCACAGAGAGGAAGAACAATAATTACTCCCTGCAGCAAAGCCTCGAACAGCTTGATGAGCTGCTAGCCGACCTAGTCATTGATTACAAACCTCAAAATAGCAGGAGACCAAGCAAGGATCTTATAGACCAACTCAAACTATTGATTCAAGATGATGAGACCAAAGAAAGCAAAAGGGAAATGGACCAAGATGATTCCGGACTTTTGAACACACAAACTGACTCATCAAAGACTAGCCCGGATACATTCAAAGATCAAGATAGTGGTTGTGAGGGTTTTCCTCGTTGTGTTGAAGAAATTCCTTTGAACCATATTGCAGAGGAGGATGACACTATGGTGTGCTCCAACAAAAAATGCTTACGTAAAGACACTACATTTAATGCCTCCTTGTACTTCAAGTCCTGCCACAGCTGTTATACTTACTACTGTTCTAGAAACTGTAGACGGGAAGACTGGGACACACATAAAGAGAACTGTCTTTATGGCCGGATCAGTAGTGTTTGTAGGCACATACTAAAACACTGTCGAGAGGATTTGGATATTCATAAAGCATTCTCACGCATTGCCAGAGTAGGGTATCTGTCCCGCGGGAGAGGCGTTCTCTTCCTGGGTTTTCCAAACCCTGGGTGTGCGGATAACTTTCTTCAAGTTGGTCTTGACAGCCTAACCATCTCTCCAACATATTTGTCCCTTCGAGAGTTAGACAGTTTCAAAGACAACCTAGGGCCATACTGCAAAGAATTGCAGAATGCAGGCAAGGAATATGACCCTACTGAATGTTTCCTACTGAATGTATCCATTGCTGTCGGAGACCTAGTGCCTAAACTTCCTTCACCTAAATTACAAATGCCAACAGTTCGCAAGTATGCGAAGGTCTCATTGGCCTCCTCAAGCCCAGATAAGAAAATCTTCAAGAAAGAATGTGAAATGGAGACTCTGATTCTCACTCCTCCTCCAGGAACATCTGACATAGACAAGGATGGCCAAGAGGGCAGGAAAGCACGAGAGATTTGCTTCATTAATATCCAAAGGGAGCTTCGAACCAGAGGTGTATTTCTTCGTCATGAGTTCCCACAAATCTACAACCAGCTTTGCGAGTTTGTTGAGAGCAACAAAAGGTTCACCCCCACCACCATTTATCCCATTGACAAGAGAACTGGGAAACAGTTCATGTGTATGATCATGGCAGCGTCTGAACCAAGGATGCTAGATTGGGTTGGTGCACCACACCTTCTAGATGACATTATATAATCCTATGCATTCAGTAGTATCAAGCTTTTGCTGTGTAAAAATAAACGACTAATGTTTTTAGATATGTATTTTATTAGTGAGAGTTTTCTCTGTCTGGCACTAAAATCTAGAATTAAGAAGAATTGCTTATGGGATAAAAAGCTATGTACAGTACTTATTAGAATATTTGAGCAGTTTTGCTTAGTCTTAAAATCTGTTTCTGTCTGCCCAGTCAGAAGCTTTTTTGCATTTTTGTGCTGACATTTTTGGCCAAGAAGTTCTGCATAATACATTAATGGTGTTAAAGAGTAGGAATACTTTTAAAGCCTGCTTTATACTTCTGCATTGAGTGATCGGAGTGACCCACGGCACCTGTCTTGCACGTTGCCATGCATTTATACTTCTGCATGCTGTTTGTGTTGCTCTGCAATAACAATTTCCAAGCAAAGGGTTTTATTTTCCTCTGTGTCGAGCTTTTTTGCAGGTGTTTTGTTTTTTCTAAACGCTACCTTTATGTACAAGTAGCTCAAACTTGCTCATTTTGAGGTGGGAACTTGAGAATGTGCAACAACTTTGATCATAAGGTAAACACAAAACAAAACTATCCATCTGAAGCTTCTTCACGGGACTCCACACTTGTAAACACTCGCTCCAATAGGTTTGTGTGGCTCTTGGTCCCTCCCACACTCAACACCGCTACCAAGCCGACCAATCACAGAGCTTGCGATACGTGTCACTGTGATGTGTAGTTACATTTTTTGAGAGGTTCGCATAGAGCAATTGTTTACAAGCGTCAAGTCCTATAAAGAAGATTCATATGGAAGCTTTTGTTTTTGCTTACCTTATGATTAAAGTTGGTGCATGTCTGCTGGTTCCCGCCTCTGAATGAGCAAGCTTTAGCTACTTGTACATTGAGGTAACTTTCAGAAAAAATAAAAAACCTGCAAAGAAACTCAACACAGATAAACATAACATAATTTACTGCCAGCTAGCATTTCTGAAGATGGTATTGCAGAGCGCAGCACACAGAAATATAAATGCATGGCTACACACTAGGCAGGCACCAAGGGTCACAGCAATCATGCACAAGTACAAACCAGCCTTTTTTAGTAATGCTCAAATTGGCTTAAATATTTATTAAACAGAATGTTGGGAGATGTGTAGAACTTTGTTAATGACAGGTGTTACAAATCTGTGGAAACTGTTGAACTTTCTGTGGATTATATATGGCCCTGCTTATGACTATATTTCTTGTGCTAATATGTTGCAGTGAGGATCTAACAACTAGGAACCATTGGAGAACCTCTGGAGAAAGTCTCATTTTCTCTTGCAATACAATAGCGTCTAAAAGTCATTGTCTTTAGCCCCTTGAGAGGATAAAATGCACTTGCATGGAGAATGCATGCTGGCAAGGAAAATGCAAATTCACCTAACAATTTGCAATGATTTTTCATTTCATCAAAATAAATAATATTCACTAATTATGATCAGTATGGCAGAAAAGCAAACACGTCAGGTACATTTTTTATAGTCAAATAAACTGCTTGGAAAGTTTCTCTGTATTGTACATGGCAACTGCTTTCTGTATTGTATTCATGAGGCACTATATCTATTCATATGGTTAAATCAGCTGGAATTGTTAACAACTAATTTTACATGACAGAAAATCCTTTGAGTTAAGCATATGCAAAGTAAGATACTAATTTATTCATTTGACATGATCATTTTTGTTCATTTTTCATGGTTCTGTAAAGTTTTAATCTTATGTGTTTCTATTGAAACATCTATTGAACTATATCTGTTAAAACTGATGAACATGTATATAAAATATGCTATTGATATTTTAATCTTTATAATGTCTGACAAAACTTAGAGGCCTATATTTGAAATGTACTATTTAAATATAAAATATAAAATTAGTAAAAAAAAAAAAAAACGATCTAAGCAACGTGTATAACACTGCTGTAAGCAAGATTGTGTTAGATATAGCACTTTACTAAACTGCTGAGGGAAAACATATTAAAAAACAAACCGTTTAGATAATGTTATCAACAGCATGCACACTCTTTACCGCAACAACCAGTTTCTTTCTGTATTTTTGTCATTTTTATGCCATTATTTATTGATTGATTTATTTATCCAGTTCATCACTTGTGTTCTGTTGGAAAGTGCTGCTTTTTTCTGTACTATGGTCAATAAATTAAACACCCAAAATTCCTCAATGGCTCATGCATTTGTTAATAAAAGCAACAGGTCAGCCTTAATGCTCAGGGATTGTTTTATTTTATATAAGGGACATTCTACCAGAAACGAACATTATCTTTCCCTGAAATAAAAACATAAATACAGTGAATAAAGTTCCCAGTGATGGTTTGCGACAGGAAGGGCATCTGCTGTGTAAAACATGCGCTATAGTTGGCAGTTTATTCCGCTGTGGCGACCCCAGATTAATAAAGGGACTAAGCAGAAAAGAAAATGAATGAACAAATGACAGGGAAGAAAAGGTATTTTAATTCAAACATTTCTAAAATGGACTGATGGTTAATTTCTGTGAGTTGTTTGGTAAAGGAATATGTTATTCATTTGGTTCTCTTTGGTAGACTGTTATCGTGTTTTATTAAATAAGCTCCAGATTTGGCTTCAGTACTGACTAATCTAATCTGCACAAATATTATATTGTATAGCATCCTATAAAAAAACAAATTTAAAATATAGCATTGTGGGGGTGTGCATTTATATATGCTGAGGACTGATGGTTAATTTCTGTGAGTTGTTTGGTAAAGGAATATGTTATTCATTTGGTTCTCTGTTTTTTTTTCCTTTATTAAACACACTTTACAAATGTACCCTGTCATTATTTTTTTCCTCAGCCCAATTGAACCTAAAGCATTAATTGTTTTGTTTTGCTATAAACTATTATTTAGGAAAAAATAATTCAGAAGTAGCAAGTTTAAGATGTTATCATTAATTGATTAAAAACTTCAAATTATAAATAAATTCTAATACTAGAAATTTATAATACAAGTACATTTACAATTGTCCTCATGTTTCTGTCAGTCCTGTTACATTTGCGTTAAATTTAACATATTATACTTGCAATACACGTTTTAATGCCATAAAGTGACATAATTTGACGGAGAAGAAGCTGACAGTGATCAAATATGCATTCTATCATTGAATTGTATGATTTTATGTTTGTTTTTGTATGTTTTTTTTAGGACAACAAGCTTAAGTGAAGCCCTGTCACATTTTTTTTATAAGTGAAAATGTACCTTTCTGGAAGAATGTCCCATAATTTAATTTAATATCTTTGGAAATTGCAAATTGCTGACAATGTTTTTAACTTTTCTCGTGCATTCATACATACATACATATAAACATTTATACAGTACGCACATGTGTGTGTAAATGAGAAACATGGGAAAGAAGGAGAGAGACTTGTGTAGCTACAAATTTGAAATATACAGTTATTGTGTGCCTCCCTGAACCTCTGGGCCCTCATGATCTGCATTCTAAACAGTAATTTATAGTAATTTATAGTCTTAAAGACGTTTAACTTAAACAGGTGTGTATTGCTGTTGTTTAAAGTGCAACACTAAACACACAGAGCTATTAAGATCTAGCAGCTGGGAAAGTGGCGTGCAATAAATTTCCTCAATAAAAATACATGGGAAATTTAACGGCGTAAAAAAAATTATAGACCAACAAATATTGCTGCAGCGACATCTGCTGGTTAAGCACAAGACATAGTGCTCAGCATAATGGAGTAAACCCCGTTTAAAAAAAGTATTTTATCCATTTCTCAGTGAATATAGGCATTGTGTTTTGGTGCATTAAAACAAAACAGATTTAGTTTTTAAAATAATATTTTAATCACCAAACAGAAATTGAAAGACATTACAATTAAATTCAAGCTAAATATTTAAAAAAATAATTATTACCTACAAAATCTCAACAAAACTTCTCTTGATTTTTGCTATTTTTATTTGTATTTAATATTTTTCTATAACATATACATTTGGGTGTACTAGTTTTAGAACTGTTATCGTGTTAGTAGATAAGCTCCAGATTTGGCTTCAGTACTGACTAATCTAATCTGCACAAATATAATATTGTATAGCATCCTATAAAAAAAATAATTTAAAATATAACTTTGTGGGGGCGTGCACTTATATATGCTGAGCACAGATTACGTACCATTCACGTGATGTCTGAAATAAAATATGTGAGAGCTAAAAAAGTTTACACACATCATAGACAAATAAAATTAAAGATGTTTTCGAATTAAATGAAGCAAATTAAAAGTATAAGTTAAATGCTGTGTGTGTGTCAAGTTTTTTTCTGACGAAATTCAGCGACCTTTGTAAATCAGGTCCTATAACTTCCGGTTTCATGCACGCTACCTACCTCAAATGTAGCTGCTTTCCCCAAGATGACTTCAAAGAAACATGCAAGATGAACATCAGCGTGTCCACTGTCGAATATACAGGTTGGAATCTAACGTTTTTTTAAAGTTATTATCTTCACTAACATTTCAGTTTCAATTTAACAATAAAAGATTGCACAATGCATTGTGTACATATGTCCCATTTTATGGCAGCACAAGTAAATAAATAAATCCCATATACTATTTACACATTATTTATGGAATGGACCACGGTTTTAGAACACACACATAAACACACACAATATAATTTAGATATTATTATTTTACAATTATAAATTATTATTATTTTTACAAAAACATGATTTAACTATGGAAAAAAAGTTGGCCCATGGTAGACTTTGATTTGGCCCACCATCCCATCTGAATAGAGAGGGAGAAAGATGGGGCTAATGGTTTTATAGAAATGGTAATTTCGAATTTAACATAACCTTTTGTTTCATTGTTTTATTGCTGAGCTACAAAAAAACACCTGAAATGAAATGATACAATTAAAAATTGTAAATTAATCGGGCTTTTAACAAGTAAACACTGTCACTTGACATATACTGTAGAGGACAATGCACAAGTCATCTGTGAGCAAATCAAGCTATAGGCAGGAGCAGCTCGACTAGTGTATTTAGCATTGAACTCCATTGTGTTATAAATGGGATTAGGTTTTCACTGTAATAAGTTTAGTATACAATGTTTAAAATGATGTTCTGTTAGTTAATATGATTTAAAACATCATTTTTAGGATTATTGTAATACAGTTTGGTAAACAGGGTCATCACTAAGGATTTTTTTTCTATCTGGGCAGTGGTTCAGATTTTTACTTGCCCTGCCAAAGTTTTCACTGGAAAAAAAAGAAGTTAATAACTATTTCCTAGCCACATGATTTAAATAATGTGTCAATAGCCAAATATAATTATACATTTTTTATCCAGCATAACCTTTCTTTAAAAACAACTGAGAATTAAAGTAAAATTACAGTTGTGATGTACCAAAAAAATTATATATATATATATATATATATATATATATATATATATATATATATATATATATATATATATATATATATATATATATATATATATATATACATACATACATACATACATACATACATACATACATACAGTTGAAGTCAGAATTATTAGCCCCCTTCGATTTTTTTTTTTCTTCTTTTTTAAATATTTCCTAAATGATGTGTAACAGAGCAAGGAAATTTTGAGAGGGTGCTCGCTGCAGAGCCATTTGAGGAGAGCTGAGGTCCAGCGAGGGGGAGCATGAGCTGTCGCTCCTCCTCCTGTAAACTGTTTTAATCCGTACACCAACCCCACCCCTAACCCTACCCCCAGTGACATCACTCGTAGAAGAAGTGCAAAAAAGGTGGAGCTCAAGCTTAAGCACCCCCTCGCTGGAGCTCAGCTCTCCTCAAATGGCTCTGCAGCGAGCACCACTTGGAAATTTTCACAGTATGTCTGATAATATTTTTTCCTCTGGAGAAAGTCTTACTTGTTTTATTTCGGCTAGAATAAAAACAGATTTAATTTTTTAAACACTATTTTAGGGGCAAAATTATTAGCCCCTTTAAGCTATACTTTTTTCGATAGTCTACAGAACAAACCATCGTTATACAATAACTTGCCTAATTACCCTAACCTGCCTAGTTAACCTAATTAACCTAGTTAAGCCTTTAAATGTCACTTCAAGCTTTCTAGAAGTGTCTTGAATAATATCTAGTAAAATATTATTTACAGTCATCATGGTAAAGGTAAGATAAGTTCATTACTATAAACGAGTTATCAAAACTATTATGTTTAGAAATGTGTTGAAAAAAATCTGCTCTCTGTTAAACAGAAATTGGGGAATAAATGGGGAATACAGGCTGTACATACATGCATACATTTAAGTTGTCAAGTTTTGTAAAAATCTATCTACTGAATTAATCTATTAAAAAACTTGGACCAGAATTCTGCATTATAGGCTTAAGTTATAGACAGAAATAACAGATGAACCTAGACTGCTGTTAGATCATGAATCAGATTGCAATGTTAATCTATTTTCAAGGTGTCAGTGCAGAAATGAACAAAACAACAGGCCAAATACAAAATATTATAAGAATAAAATATGGCAAAACTTTCAGATAGTAATTTAGGTCAATTTTCCTAATGGATAAACAGCTCTCTGTATTATTTCAGCATTCTTTTGCTTTCCATTCAACATGAAATGCACATTTATCAGTAGGAATACCCTTACATAATTCTATCTTCATACAGTAGCCATATACTGTATATGGTTATTACGCAACCATAATAAATTGATGTGAAATGATGTAGTCTGGTTTGTTAGTTCGTTGGATCATATTGCTTTCTTTCTACAATCGATCAGCTCTAGAGTTCATTTCAATCGAGCCGAGACCACCTCATTCAGACGATCTCGGACCAATTGATTTGGCACAGATCCGAGCGGGATTGCTGGATTCACATATGCCAAACAAACTGTGATAACGGGGCAAACGATACAAGTTCCGAAACAAACGTCTAGGTGTGAAAGCACCTCAAGATTTTATTTGCACGCAATAGATGAACAGTCGCAGCCAAATTTAACTTTTCGGGCCAGTAATGATCCTGTCTACTATCCCAAGCGTATCGCACACTGGCCCTGAGCCATCGGGCTGTCCGTATTGTCGAGCCCTGGTATATATTTGGCCCACAGCCCTCAATCCAGTTTGGTTTTTGGCCCTTTTATAGGAAAAACTTTAGGAACCCCTGCACAAATTGAACCAC